AACAAGCGTTAAAGCCTTTAATATGTCTTCAAATATAAATAAACATCTCGTTGATATTTTCAGTAGTAAATGGTATCAATAACAGCACATTTGAGCAATGCAATTGTAGTGGATAAAATGGTCAATTTTTCCGTGCAGTACTGTACGGATTATACGCTCCTCACCGGTTAAAAGTTTGACCGAGGGTTGTCTCCTTCCTTTTCTGGCCTGGTGCTGTTTCCTAATTTTACCTACTTACAGTAATTTTAAACGAACGTTCAAAAAATATTTATTTATGTAAAGCATTGAGTACATATTTTTATTTGAAAGTGAATATACACATTAGTGTTTTAATGAAATTATTTTATAGCTTTTACTTTTAATCCATTTCCTGCACATGCTCTTTCATGCTTTTCTATTCGGTCTGGAAAAAAAGTTCTACCACATTGGTTACAAGGAATCAACTCGGATAAGTGATTATCCCAAATTCTATCGAAGGTCGCTTCATAGTTTAACTCTCCAACAGCTGAATATACGAGAATAACACTATGAATAGAAAAATATCTATTATTAATAATATATAGGGCTTACGAGTGAAAACAAAGTCAGGTTTTTTAGGTTCCGGTCTTCGCTTGTCTTTTGGTAGTTTGTCGTTTTGAATGTTCCACTTTTTCAAACACTGAGGTTCGTGTATATTGATCGAACTGATACTAAACGGTCTTCCACAAATATAACACGGTAAAATTCTAGGTCGTCTTCTCGAATTTGAATTTGTCTTTCCTTCGCATTGGTCAGAATTGCCACTACTTACAACTTCTAAAACAAAATTTTAATTTGACATAAAATTAAAAATATCAATCAAGCAAGTTCACATTTAGTAGATAATTAATTACCCATGCTAAGCAGCTGATAAGCATTCAATCAGGATTTTCTTAAAAATTATTTTAAACAGACATAAAAAAACAAAATATTGCTTTGCAAATGGGATAACAAAGGAATTAAATCATATGTCACTGACTGACCTTGCTTTGATGTAAGATCGTTACTAAGATAATTATTATTTTGAAATTCAGTTTTTTTCGCACAGCTTTCCTCGTGTATTTTTAAAGAGTGTGTACCAAAATTTTTCCCACAAATGGAACACTGAACCCATCTGGGGGGCGAATTAGATTTTCTAACCAATGTTGTGCGTCTAGTAGTTTCTCTCAAACTACACTTTTCCTGAAATAATTAGGTAAGAGATGTTTTAAAAAAATGTCTCATTACTTCAGTAACTACTTTAGAAAAACTTACTAAATCGTTTAAGGAAGGCTTACAACTCCTTTGATGGACTTCCAATCGATCAGGTAAAAATGTCCGTTTACAATTAACACATGGTACCAAAGAATCCTAAATAATTAAAATAAAATCAATAAATCAATTTTTCACCTATTATATGTGCATATTGAATATTTTTACCACAAAAATTAAATACAGAGTCGTTTTACGTAAATATACCTATGTAGACATTTATTAATACTGTAGCGAGCACGAGTGTGTTTGTGTGGGATCGGGCACACGTGTGCGTGAACGGCTTATCGATTCCTGCGTCGTACCTGCGTTCTGGGAAAGCAGTTAAACAGTTCAAAGAAAAAATAAACTATCCGGATGTTTCCAGAAGGTTCCCAAAAGTAAACAAAAGAGTATTTAAAGGAAGAGACGACCGCCGAAAAGAGTAGAAATAAATTGACCGTTGCAGAAGTGAATCGAGAAATAAATTGACAGTGAATAGTGATATATCAACAGTAGTGTAAATAAATAGAATAATTCATAAC